GACCAGGAGATGTGTTCCCTCTGAAAATATTTAATAAGAAAACACAAAAACATGAGAAGTTGAGGGTTACAGGTGGGGAGAATATTTACAATATGCATGGGAAGATCTCAGTATTAAGTAAGTATAGGGCACCTATCAAACCTGAAGACAGATGGCACTGGTGTAAATGGGGTCAACCTGGAACAGCTATGCCACTGAAGACCAAGTGCTAGTTCTGAAAACAACAGGTCTCCTCGACACTGCCCAGAGAGCCATTTGGGGAGCCCGTGCAGGGACATCGTCACAGCATCGAGCAGCCCCTATAGCAGAAGTGTGATGTGTGGATGATCTGTTCTGTGCCGAGAGGCTCTGGGACATTTCCTGGGCACAGAGAGTGCAGAGGCTGGAGGATCATCTGCCGTCCAACTGCCCCATCCAGGCTCTTTCCCCATGTGACCTTCCTGACCTAGACAATGTCTCTAACTCTGTGTGTCTCCATCTGTCCCCAGAGCCCAAGGTGGTGTTTGCCAAGGATCAGCAGGCACTCAGTGAGGTGAAGGCAGAGGCGGGGGCCGGCGCCACCCTGAGCTGCGAGGTGGCCCAGGCCCAGACAGAAGTGACTTGGTTCAAGGACGGGAAGAAGCTGAGCTCGAGCTCGAAGGTGCGAGTGGAGGCCTCGGGCTGCACGAGGAGGCTGGTGGTGCAGCAGGCAGGCAAGGCTGATGCCGGGGAGTACAGCTGTGAGGCCGGGGGACAGAGGGTCTCCTTCCACCTGGATGTTGCAGGTATCAACTTGGCCCTGTGTGGAGGTGGAGGGGGTCTGGCCTATCATCTTAACAGATCTTTTGCCCTTTAACAGTCATTGCTCACATTTCCCAACTTCCTCCATCCTGTGAGATGGCATGACCTGCTGGGACAAAGATACGAGGGTGGAAAAGGGTCTGTTTCATAAACCTTGCATGGCATTTCGATGAGGGTAATCCTGAGTCACATCCCTAGCACCAATCTGCTGTCTCATGGTGTCTGGGAGTCTGACTGGATCCAGTTCATGGCCTTAGAGGTTGTCAGGTATCTGTCTCCTGAGGACCTGGGAATACCCTCCTATTGTTTGTGTGGCAACTTCCACATGCCCCCACCCCACAGTGCATGCCAGCTACGGTCAGCAAGAGGTATTTCAATTTCACTGAACCTGAGTCAGGGAAAGCTTCGGTTGTTTAATGCCTGAATATATATACAGAGTGAACTATGGACTATAAAATTTTAGGGTTCTGGATACCTCTCATTTCTATAGAATAGGAGCTCTCAGTGACCTATCTGTAGCAAACCCTATGAGCCTGTTTTGTTGTGATGTCTGTGCTAAGGGAGCAAGAATTGGAGCATAGGTGGGACGTGTGACAGTGACCTTTAGTATAATGGTAGGACTGGTGGGGTGTAGCTCAGTGGGTGGAGTGCCTGCCTAGCATGCAGGAAGCCTATGTCCAGTCCCCAGCACCACATAAAGGGGGTGTGGTGATGCACACCTGTAGTCCTAGTGCTCTGAAGGTAGAGGTAGGAGGATCAGGAGTTCAGGGTCACCCCCAACTATATAGTGAGTTTGAGACCTGCCTGGGCTACATGAGATTCTGTTTCAACCCACCTCTCTTCCCCTCCTCAAGAAAAAAGAGTTTGGGGCTGGAGAGATGGCTCAGCAGTTAAGAGCACTGGTTGCTTTTGCAGAGGACCCAGGTTTGGTTCCCAGCACCGGCATGGTAACTAACAGCCATCCTTGACTCTATTTCCAGGGAATCTGATATATTCTTCTGGCTTCCTTGGGCATTGCAAGACACAGGTGCACTTACATGCAGGCAAAACACTCATACGCATAAAATAAAAATAAAAAAATTAAAGTGTAGCTTTAAAGTGAATACCACTTGGTCTTTGTCTTCAGTTTGGATAGGAGCTGGAGTTGTGGCTGTGAAGAGTGGGTGGCTTCTGCCAGGTCCCTCTGCTTGTTAACCAGTCGCAGCAGCTGCTGGCAAAGCTGCATTTGTTCAGAGCATTTCCCTCAGACTCAGTGCAGGGCTCCGCTCCTCAGAGAGAAAAGTCCAAGAAAGAAAAGTTTGCCTCCTGTTGAGCCTTCAGATGGGTTAAGTTTGGGCTGCAGTCCCATGCTTGACCTCTAGGGGCTGCTCCACACCAGTGCTCTATCCAGCCTTCACCCAATGACTGTCATTGTTTAGCTGTCTCTGTGAAAATATTATTTTAAGAGAATATGACAAAACATTTGACCGTAATACTCTGAAAACTGACAGTGTGGCCGATTTCTAGTAAACTGTGGAAACTGACATATAGACAAGGGAAACTTAAGTAGGTCTATGAATTTTGGCTGCTCCACACCAGTGCTCTATCCAGCCTTCACCCAATGACTGTCATTGTTTAGCTGTCTCTGTGAAAATATTATTTTAAGAGAATATGACAAAACATTTGACCGTAATACTCTGAAAACTGACAGTGTGGCCGATTTCTAGTAAACTGTGGAAACTGACATATAGACAAGGGAAACTTAAGTAGGTCTATGAATTTTAAATAAATGAAATAATTAAATCTTATAAATTTTCTGGAGAAAATATATCACTTACTGAAAACAGTTGGTCCATGTTCATGGGATTTTCTCAGAAAACAGAAGAAGGAAGGAAGTCCCTAAGTCATTTTATGCAGAGAGCACTGGCTCTAAGATCTGACTGGAGGGTAAGAAGATGTCAGAATGAAAAGACCCAGCATGGAATTCCAGCAGAGTGTTGGCAGAGTAAGCCCAGCAAAGCAAGAGGGTCTTACACTGTGACAAAGGCCTTAGCCTTCCATCAAGGCAGAGAAGGTTCTGTCCTCCACAGCCAGGTCTTTGTGCTGTGTGACCTTTTCTGACCTAAACAGTGACTGACTGTGTGTTTCCATCTGGTCCCAGAGCCCAAGATGGTATTTGCCAAGGAGCAGCAGGCACTCAGCAAGGTGAAGGCAGAGGCGGGGGCCAGCGCCACCCTGAGCTGCGAGGTGGCCCAGGCCCAGACAGAGGTGACATGGCTCAAGGACGGGAAGAAGCTGAGCTCGAGCTCGAAGGTGCGAGTGGAGGCCTCGGGCTGCACGAGGAGGCTGGTGGTGCAGCAGGCGGGCAAGGCTGATGCTGGGGAGTACAGCTGTGAGGCCGGGGGACAGAGGGTCTCCTTCCGCCTGGACGTCACAGGTCAGTGTTCAGACACTAAGTTAGCCTTGTGTGGAGGTGGTGGAGCCTGGCTGTGGTCCAGGCAGGTCTTGATGCCCTTCCCCTTAACACTGTCTGTTAAGGTCTCCCTTCATCCAGCTTCTCATTTTCCTATGGATGGCTGAGCCCAGGGAAGGTGGGTGGGAAGGGACAGGGTCCTGTCGTGCAGCTTCAGAGCTGTATCCTTTGCTGGCATTGGGAAGCACACTCCATGTTGCTGGCCATTCAGCCTGTGGGGTCCTCAGACCCCCCGGGGCCTCTGCTGGGATGCAGCTGTGTCCTTGACATCCACCATAGAAGAGAAAGTCAGGGAAATTCAGAATGAAGCCGAGCCACTGAGTTTATTGATTAAACACCAAGACAAGGTGCACTTGAGAGTGGAGAGCAGGCATCAGCAGAGGAGCGTGTTCCGTCACTGTGCGCCATTCAGGGCGTTGAGTCTACTGAATCTTCAGCTAAGTCTGAATGCTAGCTGAAGTATGTGCTGGCATAGTTCTTTTTGAAAACAATCTATTTTATTATTTATTATTTTTATGTGTATGCGTGACCATGCATTTATGTGTACTGTGTTGAGTACAGTGCCTACAAAGCCAGAAGAAGGTGTCAGAGTCCCCTGGAAGCGGAGGTACAAGTGTTGTAAGCCACCATGTGAATGCTGGGAACTGAACTCAGGTTCTCTGCAAGAGTAGCAAGTGCTCTTAACCACTGAGCAATCTCTCCAGCCCCTTCTATTTTTTTAACCCACAGAATTCTATTCTTGAAGTAGGAGACTTTCAGGCAGTCTTGCAGCTGGGAAGGGAGTGAGTGCCATGACAGACGTTCGACAAAGGGCTCCTTAGTGCACACAGGACACAAGAAGGGTGGAATCAAAGCATGGCTCGTTGGCCATTTTAAGAATCTTGCTTGTGATTCTCGGAAGGGGAGTGCAGGTTTGTTCTGCCGGTAGTCTGGCCAGTTATGTGAAAATTCTTGGCTGTTAGTCTGTGAGGCATGACCTTCAGGACCAAAAGCAAAGGGAACCTTTTGTCCTCTCATGTCCCCTCTATTTCCCCACTAGCTGTCCCTCCTCATTCCCACAGAACGTTCACCCCTTTGTTCTCAGAACCTCCCCAAGAACCCCGGATGTTGTGTGTGGTCCAGGACGCTGGGTGCATCTGGACTGGGACCTGTGGTGGCTCTGGTGTTTCTCCAGGGGTAGTTGAATTACCCGCACTTTATAATCTGGTTATTTAAGAGCTCTGTAAATGAAAGTGAAGCATTTTTGAGAGACATTAAAGAATCTGTGGATGTAGAGGCATGGAAAATCAAAGTTGATCAGCCTTCAAAATACATAAAGACTCCATGTGGATACCTAGTCTTCACTAGATACCTCACAAAGATATGTGGTCCTCACTAGAGAGAGAGAAACAAAGGGAAGGAACAAAGTATTGAACTCTGAAACACACTTGTGGGTAAACCCATTCCTTCCTTGTCCCCCAGAAAGGACTTTTCATGAAAACTTTTAGAACATTAAACCACATGGAAGCAAAAGAAATAATCTAGTTCATACACAGGCAGAGATCAATTCCAGGTAAACTAGAGAAACCAGGTAAACCATAATACTCTTAGGTGATGCTGTGTGTTGCTTAAAGACCAGGTAAGGAAACATTTCTGACAGGAAACAAGTGTACTGATCACAGTGGAACAACATTGGCACATTTGACTACATTAAATTGAAAACAAGATAGATTAGAAGACATTTGTTTTAGTTTTATTTGTGTTGCTGTTGCAAAATAACTGAGACTGTGTACCTTATAAATTAGAGAGGTTTATTTGGCTGAAGATTCTGATGTCTACAAGATCCATGTAGCAGGATACTGGTGTTCTGGTATGGGGCCCACCTCCACAACAGTAGAAAGGGATCCTGTGAGGAACAGAAGGAGCCAAACACACTCTTAAAAGTTCCCTACCTCAGCACAGCCATATGGAGACCCAGACTGCTGAATGTGAAATTTTGAGGGACCAGCCACATCCAAACCTTAGTAACATCATAAGGAGAGGACCCACAAATCACATAGTAGGGGAAGACATGTGCTGTAACATGTAACAGAGCTCCTGAAATGAACAAGAAGAGGCAGTGCTGCTGAGAGTGGGGTCAGCTTGAACATCGACAGCCACAGGAGCACTCCGTGATGGCCCAGGGCGCCAGTGGGACAGGCAGTAGAGGGCCACAACCATCCAGGCTCTCCTTCACATGTCCCAGCTGATGACGCTCAGAGCAGGCAAGGGTGGGAGCCTCAGGGACTCAGCCCTGTCAGGACATACTCTGGTGCTGTCACTGTCGGGGAGGCACACGTGTCAAGACCTGCAGCCCCTCCTTTGAGGACTGTCACCATGCACCATGTTCCCCTGCAGCAGTGGGTCATCTGTGGCTCTGTACTGAGAGGCTCTGCTGGGACCTCTCCTGAGTACAGCAAATGCAGAGCCAGGAGGATGTTCCCAAACAAGTCTTCCCCACGTGGTCTTCCTAACGTACAGCGTCTCTGACCCCGTGCATCCTTTTCTGTCCCCAGAGCCCAAGGTGGTGTTTGCCAAGGAGCAGCAGGCACGCAGCGAGGTGAAGGCAGAGGCGGGGACCAGTGCCACCCTGAGCTGCGAGGTGGCCCAGGCCCAGACAGAGGTGACGTGGCTCAAGGATGGGAAGAAGCTGAGCTCGAGCTCGAAGGTGCGAGTGGAGGCCTCGGGCTGCACGAGGAGGCTGGTGGTGCAGCAGGCGGACAAGGCCGATGCCGGGGAGTACAGCTGTGAGACCGGGGGACAGAGGGTCTCCTTCCGCCTGGACGTCACAGGTCAGTGTTCAGACACTAAGTTAGCCTTGTGTGGAGGTGGTGGAGCCTGGCTGTGGTCCAGGCAGGTCTTGATGCCCTTCCCCTTAACACTGTCTGTTAAGGTCTCCCTTCATCCAGCTTCTCATTTTCCTATGGATGGCTGAGGCCGGGGGACAGAGGGTCTCCTTCCGCCTGGACGTCACAGGTCAGTGTTCAGACACTAAGTTAGCCTTGTGTGGAGGTGGTGGAGCCTGGCTGTGGTCCAGGCAGGTCTTGATGCCCTTCCCCTTAACACTGTCTGTTAAGGTCTCCCTTCATCCAGCTTCTCATTTTCCTATGGATGGCTGAGCCCAGGGAAGGTGGGTGGGAAGGGACAGGGTCCTGTCGTGCAGCTTCAGAGCTGTATCCTTTGCTGGCATTGGGAAGCACACTCCATGTTGCTGGCCATTCAGCCTGTGGGGTCCTCAGACCCCCCGGGGCCTCTGCTGGGATGCAGCTGTGTCCTTGACATCCACCATAGAAGAGAAAGTCAGGGAAATTCAGAATGAAGCCGAGCCACTGAGTTTATTGATTAAACACCAAGACAAGGTGCACTTGAGAGTGGAGAGCAGGCATCAGCAGAGGAGCGTGTTCCGTCACTGTGCGCCATTCAGGGCGTTGAGTCTACTGAATCTTCAGCTAAGTCTGAATGCTAGCTGAAGTATGTGCTGGCATAGTTCTTTTTGAAAACAATCTATTTTATTATTTATTATTTTTATGTGTATGCGTGACCATGCATTTATGTGTACTGTGTTGAGTACAGTGCCTACAAAGCCAGAAGAAGGTGTCAGAGTCCCCTGGAAGCGGAGGTACAAGTGTTGTAAGCCACCATGTGAATGCTGGGAACTGAACTCAGGTTCTCTGCAAGAGTAGCAAGTGCTCTTAACCACTGAGCAATCTCTCCAGCCCCTTCTATTTTTTTAACCCACAGAATTCTATTCTTGAAGTAGGAGACTTTCAGGCAGTCTTGCAGCTGGGAAGGGAGTGAGTGCCATGACAGACGTTCGACAAAGGGCTCCTTAGTGCACACAGGACACAAGAAGGGTGGAATCAAAGCATGGCTCGTTGGCCATTTTAAGAATCTTGCTTGTGATTCTCGGAAGGGGAGTGCAGGTTTGTTCTGCCGGTAGTCTGGCCAGTTATGTGAAAATTCTTGGCTGTTAGTCTGTGAGGCATGACCTTCAGGACCAAAAGCAAAGGGAACCTTTTGTCCTCTCATGTCCCCTCTATTTCCCCACTAGCTGTCCCTCCTCATTCCCACAGAACGTTCACCCCTTTGTTCTCAGAACCTCCCCAAGAACCCCGGATGTTGTGTGTGGTCCAGGACGCTGGGTGCATCTGGACTGGGACCTGTGGTGGCTCTGGTGTTTCTCCAGGGGTAGTTGAATTACCCGCACTTTATAATCTGGTTATTTAAGAGCTCTGTAAATGAAAGTGAAGCATTTTTGAGAGACATTAAAGAATCTGTGGATGTAGAGGCATGGAAAATCAAAGTTGATCAGCCTTCAAAATACATAAAGACTCCATGTGGATACCTAGTCTTCACTAGATACCTCACAAAGATATGTGGTCCTCACTAGAGAGAGAGAAACAAAGGGAAGGAACAAAGTATTGAACTCTGAAACACACTTGTGGGTAAACCCATTCCTTCCTTGTCCCCCAGAAAGGACTTTTCATGAAAACTTTTAGAACATTAAACCACATGGAAGCAAAAGAAATAATCTAGTTCATACACAGGCAGAGATCAATTCCAGGTAAACTAGAGAAACCAGGTAAACCATAATACTCTTAGGTGATGCTGTGTGTTGCTTAAAGACCAGGTAAGGAAACATTTCTGACAGGAAACAAGTGTACTGATCACAGTGGAACAACATTGGCACATTTGACTACATTAAATTGAAAACAAGATAGATTAGAAGACATTTGTTTTAGTTTTATTTGTGTTGCTGTTGCAAAATAACTGAGACTGTGTACCTTATAAATTAGAGAGGTTTATTTGGCTGAAGATTCTGATGTCTACAAGATCCATGTAGCAGGATACTGGTGTTCTGGTATGGGGCCCACCTCCACAACAGTAGAAAGGGATCCTGTGAGGAACAGAAGGAGCCAAACACACTCTTAAAAGTTCCCTACCTCAGCACAGCCATATGGAGACCCAGACTGCTGAATGTGAAATTTTGAGGGACCAGCCACATCCAAACCTTAGTAACATCATAAGGAGAGGACCCACAAATCACATAGTAGGGGAAGACATGTGCTGTAACATGTAACAGAGCTCCTGAAATGAACAAAAAGAGGCAGTGCTGCTGAGAGTGGGGTCAGCTTGAACATTGACAGCCACAGGAGTACTCCGTGATGGCCCAGGGCGCCAGTGGGACAGGCAGTAGAGGGCCACAACCATCCAGGCTCTCCTTCACATGTCCCAGCTGATGACGCTCAGAGCAGGCAAGGGTGGGAGCCTCAGGGACTCAGCCCTGTCAGGACATACTCTGGTGCTGTCACTGTTGGGGAGGCACACGTGTCAAGACCTGCAGCCCCTCCTTTGAGGACTGTCACCATGCACCATGTTCCCCTGCAGCAGTGGGTCATCTGTGGCTCTGTACTGAGAGGCTCTGCTGGGACCTCTCCTGAGTACAGCAAATGCAGAGCCAGGAGGATGTTCCCAAACAAGTCTTCCCCACGTGGTCTTCCTAACGTACAGCGTCTCTGACCCCGTGCATCCTTTTCTGTCCCCAGAGCCCAAGGTGGTGTTTGCCAAGGAGCAGCAGGCATGCAGCGAGGTGAAGGCAGAGGCGGGGGCCAGCACCACCCTGAGCTGCGAGGTGGCCCAGGCCCAGACAGAGGTGACGTGGCTCAAGGACGGGAAGAAGCTGAGCTCGAGCTCGAAGGTGCGAGTGGAGGCCTCGGGCTGCACGAGGAGGCTGGTGGTGCAGCAGGCGGGCAAGGCCGATGCCGGGGAGTACAGCTGTGAGGCCGGGGGACAGAGGGTCTCCTTCCGCCTGGACGTCACAGGTCAGTTCTTTGGGGAATACCAACTTGCTCTTGTTCGGAGGTGATAGTGAACCCGGCTGATGGCCTGGACAGACCCTGGTGCTTTTCCATGTGACTTCATCTTGTAATCTTTCTCAGACTCACCTGCCAGTCCCACACCCATTGTGTGACAAGGGCAAGAAGATGCAAGGGTGCATGGAGAAGGCAGAGTGGCCATTCTTACACAGCCACAGCACGAACTGCCTTTCCATGTAATCATGCTTACTCACGTTTGCTCAGCACCTACCAAAACTCACAAGTGGTCCCTGGTATCCCCAGCTGGCTTTTCCTGCTGCATGGGGCTCAGGTAGACCAGATGTCCCCTACTTGAGGACGCTGGGACCACCAGAGTAAGATCTCCGGGCTCTAGATGCTCCCTGTATATGAACATGTGGCATAAAGGAGATTGCAATCGCATTGCATTATTTATGCAAATGGAGGTCAGAGGCTGGTGGGTATGTGTTGGTGAGTTCTGAAATGCCTGAGTTTGTTTTTATTAATTTTTAGCATACAAAAGAATATTTTATTTTGACATTTTCACACATGTAAATCATTAAACCTTACCAGTACAAATCCCTCATTACCTTCCTTGACCTCCCCTGCTGCTGACCCATCTCTTCCTCCCATCTAACTCTCTTTCTGCTTGTATATTACACACACATACGTGTGATACATAAACTATACGTCCATACTGGTAAATGGTTAAACCCAGACCCACATATGAAGGAAGCACAATATGACTCTTTCTTTCCCCAATGCCTTCTCTTCCCTTACTTTAGACACCCACCTCCTCTTCTGTTTGCATATTATATGTATATGTGTATTTACAGATACATTTTTAAAAGCATCTGGACTTTTGCATACGAGAAAAAATGCAATGTTTGTCTTTCTGCATCTTGTTTATTTCACTTAACATGATGAACTACAATTCTATTTTTTTACAATGTCATGACTTCATTCTTCTTTTTAAAGTATTTTATTTTAATTGATTTTATGTGTATGAGTGTATTGCCTGCATGCATGTAAGTGTACCCATGTTGTGCAATGCTTGTGGAGGTCAGAAAAGGGTGTCAGATCCCCTGGAACTGGAGTTACAGACTCTTGTTAGCTACCATGTGGGTTCTGGGAATCGAACCCAGGTCCTCTGCAAGTGCAGCCATGCTCTTAACCATTGAGCCACCTCTCCAGCCCCAACTTCATTCTTCGTCACAGCTGCATAAAGCTTATGCCTATACATCACATTTTCTCTGTCCCTTGATCTGTGGATGGATATCTAGGCTGGCTCTGTGTCTTGACTGATACCACCAGTGCTGCAGTAAACATGGGTTTGGGAGGGTCTCTGGTGTATGGACTTAGGTTCATCGGGTATTTACCCAGGGGTGGTTCAAGGGGATCATATGTTGGTCTATTTTTAGTTTATGAGGAACCTCTACACTAATATCCATAGTGGCCATACAAGTTCACTCTCTCACCACGAGCAAATAAGAGTTCCTCTTTCCCCACATCCCATTTAACATCTGTCATTTGTTTTCTTGCTAATAACCAATCTGAATGGGATGAGATGGAATCTCAAGGCAGGTTTTTTATCCTTAATGCATTTATTTTTAAATTTTATGCATTATTTTTGTTTTATGTATATGAGTGTTCTGCCTGCATGTGTATAAGTGCACCTGTGTTGTTCAATGCCCACAGAGGTCAGAAGAGGGTATTGGATTCCCCTGGAATGGTTATTAGCCACCATGTGGGTACTGGGAATCAAACCTGGGTCCTCTGCAAGAGCAACTAGTGCTCTTAACCACTGAGTCATCTCTTCAGCCCCATTAATGCACATTTTTATTGAATTTTTATGCATTTCATACAATACATCTTAATTATATGTAGACCCCTCCTCCACTCGTACCCCCATAACCAACTCCCACCGGGTTTCATGCGTTCTGTCATATATATTGATGCCTATCAAGTCAAGTGTGTGCCCAGATGTCCCTCAGTGCAAGCTCATCCGCTGGATGTGTCAGCCAATCTATGTCACTCTCTTAAGCTCTTGCAATCTTTCTATACCTCCCCTGCCCCCACCCTCTGCAAAGCTCCTGAGCCCTAGGTGGGTGAGATTTAATACAGGAGTCCTGTCCAGGGACACACCCTCTGCCGTCTCTTTTTCAGAGCAGTTTTAATTTTAATTTCCTTGATGGCTAAGGATGTTGAACACCTTTTCAAATATTTATTGACTGTGTTTCTTCCTTTGAGAACTGTCTGTTCAGTTCATTAGTGTGTTTATTGATTAGTCTTTTTGGTGATTAGTTTTTGTCCTTTGTGTATGGCGTCATGTGGTTTGAATCCAGTTACTGTGACACCCCTGTTGCTCTTTCTGGCTCAGATTTTTTGGCTGTTTGGTATTTCATGCTTTCCTTGGACTTTTGGTGACAATTGTGTTGAATCTGAAGATCACTTTTGGTAACATAGCCATTTTCACAATATTAATTCTGCCAATCCAAGAGCATGGGAGGTCGTTCCCTCTTCTGGTGTCTTCTTCAATTTATTTCTTTACCATTTAAATATTTCAGTGTAGAAGTCTTATACCTCCTTGGTTAGGTTTACTCTTAGGTGTTTTATTATTTTAAATCTGTTATGAAGGGATTTTTCCCCTAGCAAATTCATTATTAGCATATAGAATACTAATTTTTGTGTGTTCATGTTGAATTCTGCTATTTTGCTCCAAGTGTGTATTAGATAAAGAAATTCCTCGTGGAGTCTTCAAGATTTTTTTATATCTGGGATCATGTTGTCTGCAAATAAGAATAATTTGACTTCCTTTCCAAATTTTACCATTTCTTTATTTCTTTTCTAAAGATTAAAAAAGAAATGTGTGTGTCTGTATAGAGGTATATGCACATGAGTTCAGTGTCCATAGAGACCAAAAGAGGGCATTGGATCCCCTGGAGCTGGAGTTAGAGGCAGTTGTGAGCCACACAGTGTTGGTTCTGAGAACCAAACTCTGGTCCTCTGCAAGAGTAGGGTGCATTCTTACCTGAGGAACCATCTCACCAGTCCTCCATTTATTTCTTTCACTTGTCTATTTTCAAAGATAGATTCTCATAGCTCAGGTTCTCCTTGAGCTCGCTGTATAGCTTAGGATGTCCTTGAACTCCTAATCTTCCTGCCTCTACTTCCCAAGTGCTGGAATTCCAGTGTGAGCCATCGTACCCAGTTTCATTTGCCTTCTAGCTAAGATATCAAAAAAAATGAACGGAGAAAGTGGACACCCTCGTCTCATTTCTGATTTTGAAGGGAATGCTTTCAGTACCATGTTGGTTGGAGGGCTATCACATGTGGTCTTCATTGTGCTGAGTTATGTTCCTTTTATACTTCGTTTAATCAGATTTTTTTTCCTGAAGTGTAATTTCACTTTTTCAAAGTCCTTTTCTGCATCTATTGATATGCACATGTGATTTTTGTCCAATATGTCTGTTTATGTGATATATTTATTAATTTGTGCTTGTTGAATCATCTTTGCATTCCTAGAATGAGACCAACTTAATTATGCTGCATAATCTTTTTAATGCATTGTTGAATTTAGTTTGCAAGCATTTTATTGAGACTTTTGTGTCTGTGCTCACCAGGGAGGCTGGTCCATTGCTTTCTTTCCTTGTTTTTTTTTTTTTTTTGATGATTCATTTTTTTTAAATTATTCATTATTTTTATTTTATGTGTATGAGTGTATTATTGCCTGCATGCATGGAACTGTACCCGTGTTGTGCAATGCCTGTGGAGGTCAGAAGAGGGTGTTGGCTCTGGAACTGGAGTTACAGATGGTTGTTAGCTAGCATGTGGGTGCTGGGATCTGTACCTGGGTCCTTTGAAAGAGCAGCCAGTGCTTTTAACAACTGAGCCATCTCTCCAGCCCATTTTTGATAATTCTTATCTGTTTTTGGTGTCATGGTAATACTGGCTTCATAGAATGACTTTGGTAGTGTCCCATTTCTATTTTATGGAGCTGTTTGAGGAAGATTGTGTAAGCTCTTCTCTAAGGGTCTGAGTGAATTTGGCCATGAATCAATCTCGGGCTTTTCTTTGTTGAGAGTCTTTGATTATGGCTCCCATCTCATTGCTCCTTACAGTTCTGCTTAAATTCTGTGTCTTCTTGATTCAATTTTTGGAGGTTGCATATGTCCAGGAATTTATACATTTCTGGAGGAGATTTTCCGACCTTTTGGAATATAGCTTTTCAAAGTGTTCCCTGATGAGTTACATTTGGTGGCTCCTGCCTGTCTTCCTCTGTTCTTAGAAGGTAGAAGCAGAAGGATAAGGGGTTAAAGGTCTATTCTTAGCTACATACTGAGTTTGAGGCCAGTCTGGACTATATGAGACCTTGTCTAAAAAAAAAAAAATCAACAACAGAAAACCCCAAAAACTCAACCCCCCAAACCAAACCTGAATCCCATTCAAAATAAAACCCCCAAAGACCATTCCCTACTGGTCTTCTGGATTTCACTGGAGTCTGTTGTAATGAATCCCCTTTCATCTCTAGTTTTATTAATTTGAGTATTTCCTTTTTTGATCAGTTTGGAAAAAGTTTGTTGATCTCGTTTTTGAAGAGCGGGCTCTTTGTTTCCCCGAGTCTGCATTGCTTTTCGTTTCCATTTCATGATTTCTGACTCATCCTTCCCACCTACTGATTGAGTCTGGCTTACTCTCATTTTTCCTTACTCCTTGAGGTGTATTGTATATTTATTTAGACCTCTCTGATTTAATGTTTTTGTTAGTGTACAAAGTAGTATGTGTTGGTAAGAGTGGGGTGCTGAACTTACCCTTATCACTATGTCAAGAAATACCAGTTTTTTATGTTCATTAGTGTTTGTTTATTGAAATTGGTTGCCTGGACAATCTGCATATGTACTTACGATTATTATATTTTCTTGATCGATCGCTCCCTTTATGAATATGCAGTGTACTTTTTAATCCCTCCTGACAAATTTGGACTTGAAATCTAGCTAACCAGATGCAAAGACAGTCGCACATACTGGCTCCAGCTTCCGTTTCCTTCATGCACTCACTTCTGCCCTCTCACTCTCCCACCTAGGTGTGTTTGGCAGTGAAGAGTCTTTCTTGTAAACAACAGTTGGATTTCACTTTTCAATCTAATGGGCTTGTCTGTAGCTTTAAAAAACTTAAATTTGCTGGGTGTGGGGGCGCATGCCTTTAGTCCCAGCACTCAGGAGGCAGAGGCAGGCAGATGTCTGAGTTCAAGGCCAGCCTGGTCTACATAGTGAGTTCCAGGACAGCTGGGGCTACAGGGAGACCCTGTCTCAAAAAGGACAAAAAAAAAAAAAACCCCACAAAAAAACCTTAAATTTATTTTTATGTGTGTGAATGTTTTGCCTGCATGTATGTAAGTGTGTCGCATGTGTGCCTAGTGCCCAAGGAGGCCAGAAGAGGGTGTCAGAATCCCTGGAACTGGAGTAACAGATGGGTGTGAATGGCCATGTGAGTGCTGGGAACCAAACCCAGGTCGTCTTGCAAGAGCAGCAAGTGCTCTTAACTGCGGAGTCATCTCTCCAGACCCTCATTCTTTTTTTTCCCTCTCCTCAGAGCCCAAGGCGGTGTTTGCCAAGGAGCAGCAGGCACGCAGCGAGGTGAAGGCAGAGGCGGGGACCAGCGCCACCCTGAGCTGCGAGGTGGCCCAGGCCCAGACAGAGGTGACGTGGCTCAAGGACGGGAAGAAGCTGAGCTCGAGCTCGAAGGTACGAGTGGAGGCCTCGGGCTGCACGAGGAGGCTGGTGGTGCAGCAGGCGGGCAAGGCCGATGCCGGGGAGTACAGCTGTGAGGCCGGGGGACAGAGGGTCTCCTTCCGCCTGGATGTCACAGGTCAGTGGTTTGAGGAAACTAACTTTGCTTATTTGGATGCGATGCTAAAACCTAGTAATAATCCAAAGGACTAAGGCACTGCTGCAGGGCACTTCACCATCTTTCACACTGTGTTTTCACACACACACACACACACACACACACACACACACACACACAGCACTTGGTTGTGTGAGCAGGAATGGGATGGATAGGACCTGAAGGGACGGACGCTATCTCTGTTTCCATGTGGTGGCATTTATCATACATTCCTAGGAATGTCCCTGGGTCTTCCTGTTGCTTCTTGGTACCCAGGGCTGTCACTAGCTCTTCCTGGTGCCTGGGATTGGGTTAGATGTGTCTCGCAGGGTTGTGTGAATATCTGAGTGTCTGCAGTTACTTTATTTTTTATCCAGTAACACATAAGCATTCTTACTCATGTGAAACATTTCCATTGAGTTTAAATAAACTAAGGAATTTTGATATCCTAATCATACATGCAATTTCATGCAACAAAAATCTGGCTTATTGTAGTTTCAGGTGTCTGGGCACTCCTTCCTCATTTCCCAACGCAGTGGGAAGTGTGTGTGCTGAGTTCAGATGCACATTGCCCTGCAGTGTTTGTGTGTAGTAAAGAGAGCAGAGGGCGGTGGGTGTGCTCCCGTGAGCCTGGAACGCTCTTCTCAGGGAAAGTTTTGTTTTTCAAAAGTAACTTTGAGCATCAGTGTTGGCACTCCCAGAGTTTCGCTTAGGAAAGGAGAAGGAAGTGGCTTATGGAGTGACTCTACCCTTGGGAGACAAGATGAGTTCCTCTAGTGGGGTTTTCTGTCCACAGAGCAGTGTGTGTGTCGCAGAATTCCCTAGGAGTTTGTCTGCACCTGCCCCGCTGGTCAGACCTTCTCCCATCACTCAGGAGTCTTACACCAACTTCTGGTGGCACTAGATAACATTTCAGTGTCCCCTCAGCAGGACGCAGTTTATGAGTGTGTGACGATACCAAAATCAAGTACATAAAAGGGCAACCCCTCCCTCTGTGTCTTCAGAGAATATGAGAAATTTAAAAATTATAGTCATTTGGTGATTTCTTAGAAGGGTGTAGCAAAAGTGACCCAGGAAGAAACAGAAATCTTGAACATTCCTAAAGTCTTTAAAACAGACTCATAAAAACCAGCTTGTCATAGAGAAGACAGAAGTCCATCAAGGCTTATGGAGAAATCACATCAAATGTTCTAGAAGGAACTGATCAGTTCTGGTGCTTTGTCTCACAAGAAGACTGTAGTTGGCAATAATGCACAGCACTCTTCCAAGTAGCTAGGAAGATTTTATATGTTCCCACAAAGAAATGGCAAATATTTGAGGCCGATTACCATGTTTTGAATATAGTGTAGATATATATTGAAACATCACATTGTGGTCTATAAATATGTGCAGTTGTTTATTGATTAAAAATGGAAAAAGAAGGCCGGGCATGGTGGCGCACGCCTTTAATCCCAGCACTCGGGAGGCAGAGGCAGGTGGATCTCTGTGAGTTCAAGGCCAGCCTGGTCTACATAGTGAGTTCCAGGCCAGCTGGGGCCGAAGGAAGACCCTGTCGCAAAAAAAAAAAAAAAAAAAAAAAAAAAAAAAAATGGGAAAAGAAGTTATTTCACACTCACAAATAAACAGCAGAAAAAAGAAATATTCTCTCCCAACAATTGTCTGTAGAAAGTGGACAGAGGCATCTGACAAGGAATCAGTTAGAATTAAAATTACCAGCGTCTGTATGGATACTAGAAACTCAGCTCAGCACTACATCAAGGACAGTGCACAGACTGGGGTCACAGACCCGGCACGACAAGTAAAAAACAGTTTTGCTGCAACTAGAACAAATGAAAAGATTCTGTGATTGTCTCAACCAAAGCAAGATAAGTGTCTGATGAATCCAAAGTTCATGTTTGATAATATCCACCATCAGTTTATGCCATGAGGTTCTTTAAAAAAAATTTTTTTTTGAGACAAAATATATAGCCTTGGCTGACCCAGAACTCAGTATGTAGACCTACCGGCCTCGAATTCAGAGCGATCCACCTGCCTCTGCTTCCTGACTGTACCCTTCCCCCAGCTTGCCATGAAGTTCTTAACACTATGTATAGAAATAGGGTTAATTTAACAAATGCTACAAAAACCACACCCGATTCTATCACATTTAAAGAGATTCTCGAAGGATTTTAATTTAGATGGGGAATAAGACCAGGAAGCATCTGTCATCTGACACAGGGCAGCAGAGGAAGGACATAAAGGTATGCAAGTTGAAGAAAACGTCCAGGGAGCCCATATTGTATAAAGGCCAATGAGAAAATCCCAAAGATTAATTTTGTTAGACTTTGTAAATAGTCAAGAAAGATTACTGTGTTTTTGAATTTGGGGTTACAGTCTGAGCCCCAAGTATGGCCACCAGTCCTTGAGAAGCTAATAAAACAGTCAAATTAAAAGTAATAAATCGGGGCTGGAGATAGCTCAGCATCTAACATCACTTGCTCCTCTTTAAAAAAAATGTTATGTGTATGTGTCTGAACCTGCATATATGTATATATGTACCACATGTGTACAGGAGCCTATGGAGGCCAAAATAGGGCATCAGATCTCCTGGAACTGGAGTTACAGATGGTTGAGAGTGGCCATATGGGTGCTAGGAGCTGAATCCTGGTCCTCTGCAGGAGCGGCAAGTGCGCAGGGGCCTGGAGTGATAGCTCAGAGGTTAAAGAAACATGCCACCCTGCAGCAGTGGTGGATTATGAACTATTTTGTTTGTTTGTTTGTTTGTTTTTTGTTTTGTACCGAGACTCCCTCTGGAACTTCTTCCCCCATGTGGCCTTCCTAACCTAAAGTGACTCTGTGCATCCCTGTTTGTCCCCAGAGCCCAAGGTGGTGTTTGCCAAGGAGCAACAGGCACGCAGCGAGGTGAAGGCAGAGGCGGGGACCAGCGCCACCCTGAGCTGCGAAGTGGCCCAGGCCCAGACAGAGGTGACATGGCTCAAGGACGGGAAGAAGCTGAGCTCGAGCTCGAAGGTGCAAGTGGAGGCCTCGGGCTGCACGAGGAGGCTGGTGGTGCAGCAGGCGGGCAAGGCTGATGCTGGGGAGTACAGCTGTGAGGCCGGGGGACAGAGGGTCTCCTTCCGCCTGGACGTCACAGGTAAATGCCAGGGTTGGGCTGAATGGGGAGAGGCCCTGAGTGTTTGGTGTGATACTTCAGGATATGTCTAGGTGGCTTGGGCCACCTTGAGCCTATGGTACCCTCCCTTGGATCTCAGCATCTGTGTCCTCAGCTCTGCCTGGTAGCTCTGTGGTCTCTCATCATCATGAGATCAGAGCAGAGTGATGGCTGTGCCAACCTTGAGTGCCTCCTTGGTGACACTGACCTAGGGGTGATGGGATTGTGTGGTGAACACAGACTGTTTGCAGTTGAGAGTCTTGTGTGCGTGTGTGTGGGGTGTCCAGTTACTGGATAGAAGTCCTGTGGGTGGCAGGGCCTCCCTCTGCCCATTCCTACTTGCTGGACCTCAAAGCTTTGTGAGCCCTCACTTTGGCCCTTGGTAACCCCCGTGCAATCATAGTATGTATCTCCTCTCTCCTCTATGTCCCCGAGTCCAGGAAAAGACCACGTACAATGCCTCCAGTCGCTCCTACTTGGCTGTCCCACACTCTGCTCTCTTGTACTCCCTCTTCAACTGTGGTCCAGAAAGATGTGGGCTGCTGCCTTGGGGCTTGGGGTGGTCGTTCTTCCCAGTCATGCCTCCTCCTGCTGTTTGTGGCCCCTGCATGTGGAAGAGAGAGCTGGGAAGCAATGCATGACCTGGAGTTCCTGGGGGAGCTGCAGAGGGGAAGGTCAGGGTCCCATCTCCGAAGGTCAGGTTAGTGGTGGTATCAGGAGGCAAGCCTGGCTGTGGCGGCCTCAAGGGCTGAAGCTGCTCATTTCTCAGAAAACATCAGAGTGTGCCAGGAAGGGCTTAGGGCAGTGACAAGGCCTGACTGCATCCCAACCTTTCACATATGCCACTTTAGAGCGTGGAGCTTGGGTCACATGCAGTACAGAATATTGTTTATCAACATGCAATCATCTGTCAATCACAGGCACTGCTGCCTTGGCCATCACTGGGCTCTAATGAGCCCTAGGTTTTGAGGAGGGACCAGGTCTGGTTTGGAGTTTCTCATCCTGCGTGTCTCCACCTGTCCCCAGAGCCCAAGGTGGTGTTTGCCAAGGAGCAGCAGGCACGCAGCGAGGTGAAGGCAGAGGCGGGGACCAGCGCCACCCTGAGCTGCGGGGGGGCCCAGGCCCCCACCGAGGGTCCCTGGCGCATGGACGGGTAGAAGCTGAGCTCGAGCTCGAAGGGGCGAGTGGAGGCCTCGGGCTGCACGAGGAGGCTGGTGGTGCAGCAGGCGGGCAAGGCCGATGCCGGGGAGTACAGCTGTGAGGCCGGGGGACAGAGGGTCAACGTCCACCTGGACATCACAGGTGAGTGTAACATGAAGTTATCCTTGTGTGGGGGTTGTGTGAGCTTGCCCTCATGTCCCTGATGGACCGAAGCCCATCTGACACTGACACTTTCCCCATTGGATACCTTCTCTGCATATCTCCTGTCCTTGATGATCTCATCCTCCTGGCAGGGCCAGGTGGGCTTGGTGGACATGTGTCCAGCATCACAGAGCCCTTTCTGGTGTGTAGGGTTGTGGTGACCCAGTATCTCTCTCTAGGGTCCCATCCACAGCTTTCTGGGGTCTCACCTAGTCCCACACATGCCCTCTTCATATCTAGAAACATTCAACCTATTTCAGCTAGGGTGAGGGAAATTTCATCCACTTAATCATATGTGAAACTATGTGAGCATTGACTATGGTGCTGTCAGGTTTCACTTAGGTGCTCTAGAACACTCTTCCCTTCTTCCCTTGAATATAAATGCTCTATCTAACTTTTTTCTTTTGAGACAGGGTCTCCCTGTAGGCCCAACTAGCCTGGACCTCACTGTGTAGATCACACTGGCCTGGATCTCACAGAGATCTGCCCGGCTGGGATTGAAGGAGTGAGCCAGCATGCCTGGTTCATCTGCCCAATTTTATATTATAATCTAGACCCATGACTCATGGCTCTTCTGTACAAATACACACAGAGCTGTGGAATGTGTGTGTGTGTCTGTGTCTGGGTGTGTGTGTTTGTGTATCTCTGTGTGTGTGTGTCTGTGTGTGTGTGTCTGTGTCTGTACGTGTCTGTGTCTGTACATGTCTGTGTGTGTGTCTGTGTATGTGTGTCTGTGTGTGTCTGTGTCTGGGTGTGTGTGTTTGTGTATCTCTGTGTGTGTGTGTCTGTGCGTGTGTCTGTGTGTGTGTGTCTGTGTGTGTGTGTCTGTGTCTGTACGTGTCTGTGTGTGTGTCTGTGTATGTGTGTCTGTGTGTGTCTGTGTCTATGTGTCTGTGTGTGTGTGTGTCTGTGTCTGTGTGTGTTTTGGGGGTATGTATGCTTGTGTGTGTGTGTGTGTGTCTGTGTACAAGTGTGTATCTGTATAGTCTGTTCCCTTTTCATTCAGTGAGATTGGGGGTCAGACCCAGGGTCTCACACAGCCTAGGTGTGTGCCTTACCACTATGCTGCATCATATCAAAGCTCAAATATTCTGTATGAGAATTCTCTCTTGGAATTTATATGTATATGTAGATGAAAAGGACTACGTAGCTTGGGGGCCTTGGCACATTTTGCTGATACAGTCACTGTTGTCAGCAGTATGTATTTCATACACTTTTGCTAACAAGTCTCTGCATTTCCTTGTCTGAGCTGTAAAACTGAAGCCAACTTCATTTCCTTCTGTTCAGAGTTGAATTCCAGTGAGTGCTGGTGGTGGCCGGCTGTGACACTAGCATGCTGCCTCACAGCAGCTGGTGTTGTCAGTGCTGCTGAGCACCCCTCATTCTCAAACCCCAAGTGCTCCAAGATTAGAAAGCTTTGTTGAATGCCAACATGATGCCACAAGTAAAAAAATTCCACCCCGTATCTGGGCGTGGTGCTGCACAACTTTAATTCCAGCACTTGGGAGGCAGAGGGAGGTGGTTGTTTGTGAGTTTGAGGCTACCTTGTTCTACATAGTGAGTTCCAGGTCAGATAGGGCTACACAGTGAGACCCTCTCTCACAAAAAATTCCACACCATGGTACTCTTTCATGTACAAAATTATTTAAAATAGTATATAAGATTAGGGCTTGTGAGATGTGTCAGTGGGCAAAAGCACTTGCTGTGCAAGCCTGACAACCTGAGTTCAACGTAAAGGTGCAAGGAGAGAACTGACTCCACGAAGTTGTCCTCTGACTGCCGTACAGTGCTATAGTGTGTGCACTTGCACACATACACAGTCACATAATATTTTTTTTTAATTATGTAAGAATATATCCAGGCCTCATGTTTAACATATATACAAAACACAAGTGACTTCTGTGTTAAGGCTTTGGTCTTATCCTCATGAAATATAAATATTCCAACATCCAAAAATATCTGAAATATGAACGCTTCTATTCCCAAGACTTTCAGATAAGGGATACTCAGCCTGTATATAATGGTTTTGGGGTTGTATAGAGCAAAATCTACAAAATCTATCTATCTTTTACTAATTATTTTAATAGATTATGATCTCATTTTACATAAGTAAATTTGCAAAGCTTAAAAAAGTTGCCCAGTTTTTACAAAATCAATACTGACCCAAGAGTAAATAGATACCTCATGCAGTTCTGTTATAGAGTGGGACCTGCCACTGAGCACAGGAAACCAAGTGGCTTCAGGGCCTATTTTTCCAGGCCTCCTAGAAGTTATTTATTCCATGTTTGCAGAGATCTCTTTAGAGAGGAGGAAGCAGAGATGCATCTCTAATTCTGCTTACATAGATATCATTATATCATTACTAAAATCCGGCCAGATGATATGAACTCATATTCTACGACAATCTATTATGAGTATTGTGGTCAACTTGGGAGACAAAATACTGATGAACTGAACTCAGTGATGTATCCTGTGAGGGAATTCATAGCCCATGGTTGTCAAGAAAATGAGTGTAGAGTCTGACCTTACCTGATAGACCAAACACTATGTAATTGCCTCAGTAAATGTAGAACAAAGGGTCTGATAAAACCGAGCAATGTAAATTAAAAAGAAATATTTAAAGAAAAAATCGTCATCAGTTATGTCATAAAATTCATAACAAAATGTCATTAAATAGACTTTTTTGACCTGATAAGCAGTACTGTACACAAATCACAAAGTAAAAACCCAAGAGTTTTGCCTTGAGATCAGGAACAGCACAAGTAAGCCAGCTGTTGCGTGTAGCCAGCATGATACAGAGCATCCAGGAAGAACATCCAATAAAAGGCATAAAAGAAAAACAATTTCCTAGATGAATGAAGAGCCTTAGTAAGAGTTGAGAAAGACTACATACAAAAATCAATGTAAAGAATTCCCTTCACTGTTTACTAGCACTGAGCAGCTTGAAAGATGAGATTGAAAGCTTTTCAATGGGGCGGAGAAATGGCTTAGTGGTTAAGAGCATTTGCTGTTCTCGCAGAAGGCCTGGGTTTGAATCCCAGCACCCACAAGGCAGCTAACGACCTTCCGTCCATGACTCCAGTTCCAGGAGATCTGATGCTTTCTTCTGTCCTCCTTGAGCATTGCATAACACAGGTGCACTTACATACATGTAGGCATACCAATCATACACAGAAAAAATAACAAAAAGCTTTGCAGTGCTTCAGAAATCTTGTGTTTATAAGACATGTGGAGTCTCTGGGTGGATTACCAAGGATTTCTGAGAGACAGCAACTCTGCTATGAAGGGAAAGAATAAACAGAAGCATCACAGATGTTCCGTCCCCATCCCTATCCAAGCAGACATGTGTTTTGAAGTGCTATAGGATGGGTTTCAGATGACAAGTGAATTTCCCAGGCTGGCTATAACCAGCACACTTGGAAGAAGAGCCGGTAAGCAGTTGCTGTACTGGGCACAGGACTGCCACAGAGCTAGAGAGCTTCATTAATAAGAAAGAGTCAGGTTTGGAGGATCCTAGTTGGCTTTAGGATTCCAGCCCAGAATGTTGTGTCCCAGGACGTAGGTAGGTTGTATTTACAGTCAGAGATGAGGAAGTGACACATAGAAGAAGTGAGGTAGAGACAGCCTGATTGGTGGCCACTGGCATTTCCCTTGTCTGAACAGTGTTAGAACAGTTGGATACTTATTACTAGAGTAACTTATTGTCTGATCATGTCCAGCTAGATTAGAATTTACTATCTACAAAGTACCTCAAGGCCAAATTTAATTTAGTTTAACACAATAAGACAACAGAGTCTCAACACAAGAATGGTTATCAGGTAATAGTAATATACAGCAAACACAGAAGGGTTGGGACAACACAGCTTCAGCTGCCCATCTCCCAGTACCTTAGTATTTCCACGTTTGTGCAGAGTGTGTGGAAAGGGTGGCATGTACAGATGGTGCATTGAACATTTAACTGTATGAGGAAGATACTATAAAACTAGACAAGGAGATCAAAACACATGAGCTGACTCTAGATGGGTTAGAGACAAAGGGTAAAAGATGGTACCATGAACACCTAGGGCGATGACACAGATCACTGTAAGGACTGCAGGGTGAAGATGGAACCCGAGCCCATTCACCAAATGACAAACTATACACACTGGACCACGTGAAAACTAAGCACGTGGATTCAGAAAGACTTTTATCAGGGACTCTAGGACACCAGGAAAGATGGAAAGCCTTACCACACACATACTTGGAAATCCACAACACTATCCAGGGAGTCATGAAAGCGAATGAAAGGCAGTGACCGAGGCATGAGAAAGAGCCTTGAGGTATAACACTGCGGAGGAGCACATGTGTATGGCCAGAAAGATTAGAGGCTCTCTACCACCAAGACCAGGTGGTCAGGGCCACACATGGCCCAAGCTCTCCTCCAGATGTGCTGGCTAGGCTAATGATGATCAGGGCAGGTGAGGGCAAGCCTTGCGGACTCTCAGACATGGTGAGAACATGCCTTGTGGGAGACCCTGCATTGGGGCAAGGCTCCTAGATTTTTACCTGAGGAACTGTCACAGTGTCTCCCCCCCCAAAAAAAACAGCCCATGCAACAGTGACAGGCTGTGTAGATAAACTGGTTTTATGTTGAGAGGTGCTGGGGCTTCACCTGGGAACTGCTGCAAGTGGGGCAAGGCTCCTAGATTTTTACCTGAGGAACTGTCACAGTGTCTCCCCCCACCCCCAAAAACAGCCCATGCAACAGTGACAGGCTGTGTAGATAAACTGGTTTTGTGTTGAGAGGTGCTGGGGCTTCACCTGGGAACTGCTGCAAGAGCAGAGCCTGGAGGATGTTCTGCCTGCTAACTACCCCTTCAAGTCTTTCCAATCTAAATGATGTCTCTGTCCTCAGAGCCCAAGGTGGTGTTTGCCAAGGAGCAGCAGGCACGCAGCGAGGTGAAGGCAGAGGCGGGGACCAGCGCCACCCTGAGCTGCGAGGTGGCCCAGGCCCAGACAGAAGTGACGTGGCTCAAGGACGGGAAGAAGCTGCGCTCGAGCTCGAAGGAGCAAGTGGAGGCCTCGGGCTGCACGAGGAGGCTGGTGGTGCAGCAGGCGGGCAAGGCTGATGCCGGGGAGTACAGCTGTGAGGCCGGGGGACAGAGGGTCTCCTTCCGCCTGGACGTCACAGGTGGGTGTTCAGACACTAAGTTAGCCTTACGGGGATGCAGTGACTGGCTCAGGCCATGACTGACCTCTGCTCCTCTGTTAAGCTTTGACTCCTCACTGCTCCCCACTTTCCATGTTTAGGCTGATCCTGTGCTCTGTTTCACATTGTCTTTACATCCACCCTCTTCCCATCCCCACGTCAAGTCCCATGTTCAGCAGGACTGACTGTGAAGGGTGTCACGGAAGTTTGGCTCCTTCCTGCATTCCTGGACAGATGTTCCTAAGCTGGGAGCTTCATCTTTGTCATGTTTCTGGTTCTACCCAGACCTTTCCATGGGGTTCATCTTTTTGCTCTGAATGAGGCCCTGTGTCTCCACCTGGGATCCATGCCCAGGCTGCTTTTTGTTAAAAGAGTTCATCCAAAGATCAATAAGATGGCTCAGAGGGTGAAGGTGTGTGCTACTAAGTGATGACCAGAATTTGATCCCTAGGACCCACATGGAAAGTCAGGACTGATTTCTGCAAACTCTGACCGCTACATACACACCATGGTATTTCCCATACACACGATAGAGGATAGATAGACAGATGATGATGGTGATGATAGATGATAGATGATAGATAGATGATAGATAGATAGATAGATAGATAGATAGATAGATAGATAGATAGGAAGATAAATGATAGAATAAAAATTTCACTCTTAGCAGGGCATGATGGTACACACCTTTAATCCCAGCATTCAGGAGGCAGAGGCAGGAGGATCTTTGTGAAGTTGAGGCCAGCCTAGTCTACATAGTGAGTTTCAGGCCAGCTGGGGCTACAGGGAGACCCTGTTTCAAAAAAAAAAAAGAAAGAAAAAGATTTCACCTTTAAGAAATTTGCCCCCACCTGTGAGACATTACCACATGACAGTTTAGTAATGTGTTATATGAAATGTTATATGAATGAAAACCCACTGGGTTCTTTTTGATAAATGACTTGAAGAAATATGACATGATTTTATGTAGGTAAATTTGAGCTACTTCAATAAATTGGCCAATTCTTGAAATGTCTTGAAAAAAATGACATCAAAATGTTCACAGGAAAAATCAGGGAATTCGAACAGTCCTATGAACCTTTTAAAAGGGTAAGCCTTAGCTTTAAAAATGTCATAGGAGTTAAATTTAGTTGATAAATTACGCAAAATATTTTGGAAGCAAATGATTTTGTGTTCATGGACATTCTTCTAAAATTCAAAGGACATGTATATACTCCTCAGCTCACTTGATGTAGACAGTACAGTATTGATACCAAAATGACAGATTGTGAAAAGTTGAAAACATGGGCCAACATCTTATGATACCAAAGTCAACATCTGTACAAAATATTGGCATTGTGAATGGGGCAATATGCTAAGAGGTAAATCCACTGAACTGAAGTTGTAACGCAGGAAATACAAAGTTGGTTTAATATTAGAATGTAAAAGTCCATAAAATCTATGATATTACAAGATTTGAAAAGGACCAGGTGTAAGGGTGTACACCTTTAATCTCAACACTTGGGAGGCAGAGGCAGGAGGATCTCTGTGAGTTTGAGGCCAGCCTGGTCTACATGGCCAGTTCCAGGCCAGCCAGGGCTACAAAGTGAGACTCTGTCCCAAAAGAAAAAAAATTTTTTTGGTCTTTTTGAGACAGGTTCTCCCTGTAGCCCCAGCTGTCCTGGACCTCACTTATGTAGACCAGGCTGGCCTTGAACTCACAGAGATCCACCTGCCTCTGCCTCCTGAGTGCTGGGATTAAAGGCGTGCGTCACCACGCCCAGCTTCAAAAAAAATTTTTTACATCATATCTAGAAGACAGAAATAAAATTTAACGTCTAATTATGTAGAAAAGTTCTTGTGTTCGGTGTGCCTTGATGGTAGAGCCTTCCAAGCATTCCTAAGTCCCCAGTACCACAAAAAAGCTCTTGAACTAGCAGTAAAACGGGGCTACCTACATTTTATAAAGGGTGCTACAGAGGTAGCAGGTGCGTGCTTTCCTGCATTTGTGGAAGCTTTTCCTTTCATTGGAAGATTTCAAAAGGTCTTCTGTAACAACTCATGTCCAGCATGAAGCCTACGGAGGAGAATAAATAAAGAAATATAATGTGATAAAGGCAGGTGTCATAGGTGCATGGCTACATTTCTAAATCGACGGACTAGCAAAGGAGGGCTGAAAATGATATCCTAAAAGGAATGACATAAGACCCCCAGGATGGTGCTCTAATTCCTTGTCTAATGAAGCATACTTCTGAGGGGGAACTTGCTTTATGGAGCCAATGGAGGGGGCACAAAACAGTAGGGAGACAGGCATGGAAAACCCAGTGACAACCATTTCTGGTCACTAGCAAAGAGAAGATCTTCTGGAATATGTAAGGGAAAAGATTCATGAATAAAAGAGAGTATTTGATCTGCCGGGCATCAAGGCTTACCTTGATTCTGTGCTTGGTGAAGACAGCTTGGGCTTGAACACAGGCAGCAAGCAGTGGACCCAGGAATGGAGTAGGGAATTTGAAAGCAGAGGCGAGAACAATCTGGCCCTCACTTTTTTAAACCATGGCACTGGTTGGAGACATGGAAAAGGGAGGACTCTTAGGAAAATGTTAGTCACACCAGTCATCCAAACACGTGTGTATAGGAACTGCAGTTACAGTACAGGTGTCTCTTACTTCACACTCATGCACAGCTACATCAGACTCCAGTGTGAAGGAAAAACATGCCCTGGGCAGATACCATGGATTATGTAAGACCTCAGGATAATATTACTTACATAAGATATAAATGTACTCAGCAAAACGACAGTCGACATTTTGTCTCTACTGAAACCACATGCTGGTGAATCTATGTCTGCAATTCATGTCATCAGAAGTCTCTCTGTGTGAGAAAAGACACAGGAAGATGGGGAAGACACCTGCACACAGCAGTCACAGCCTGAGCATGTGAATATATAGAGTGCTTAACGTAACTCTGAAAAGGGCAGAAACATCATCAGTCACTGAGTGAATGTCACACCATGGAAGACCAAGAAATAGTGGCCAGAGCCAGCAATGCCCCCCCCCATGAGGCATCAACCCAAGGTAGAACCCCAGATGGTCCAGGCCACCTCCTCAATGTAGTGATTGACGATGCTCAGAGCAGGCAAAGTGTGGAGCCTCAGGATTCAGCATGTGTCCTGACCCACAGACCCTCCCTGCAGCAGCCTGTTACAGAGACTGTCACAGGTCCTGTGCAGCAGTGTTGGGATGTTTGTGTGAGCTGTGGTTTTGTGTGAGAGGTGCTGAGCTTCCGGGCATAGTGAGTGCAGAGCCTGGAGGATGTTCCCAGCCATCCCAAACAAGTCTTCCCCACGTGGTCTTCCTAACGTACAGCGTCTCTGACCCCGTGCGTCCTTTTCGGTCCCCAGAGCCCAAGGCGGTGTTTGCCAAGGAGCAGCAGGCACGCAGCGAGGTGAAGGCAGAGGCGGGGGCCAGCGCCACCCTGAGCTGCGAGGTGGCCCAGGCCCAGACAGAAGTGACGTGGCTCAAGGACGGGAAGAAGCTGAGCTCGAGCTCGAAGGTGCAAGTGGAGGCCTCGGGCTGCACGAGGAGGCTGGTGGTGCAGCAGGCGGGCAAGGCTGATGCCGGGGAGTACAGCTGTGAGGCCGGGGGACAGAGGGTCTCCTTCCGCCTGGACGTCACAGGTGGGTGTTCAGACACTAAGTTAGCCTTACGGGGATGCAGTGACTGGCTCAGGCCATGACTGACCTCTGCTCCTCTGTTAAGCTTTGACTCCTCACTGCTCCCCACTTTCCATGTTTAGGCTGATCCTGTGCTCTGTTTCACATTGTCTTTACATCCACCCTCTTCCCATCCCCACGTCAAGTCCCATGTTCAGCAGGACTGACTGTGAAGGGTGTCACGGAAGTTTGGCTCCTTCCTGCATTCCTGGACAGATGTTCCTAAGCTGGGAGCTTCATCTTTGTCATGTTTCTGGTTCTACCCAGACCTTTCCATGGGGTTCATCTTTTTGCTCTGAATGAGGCCCTGTGTCTCCACCTGGGATCCATGCCCAGGCTGCTTTGGGCTCTTCTGGGCTCCCAGATGCACCTTAATAGTACCCTCCCAGTCAGAGTTCTTTCAATACCTCTGAACCTGATGAGGGGAATTTTGTCTTCTAATCATACTCAGAATCATCTCCAGATTGAGCTTCAGGCCACCCAAGGCTTGGTGTCCGGGCAGCTCTTTCCAGCTCTCCATGGAGCCTTCTGTGCACCGTGTGTGGCAGTGCCTGTGTCCATGTTTT